AGAACATGAACCCGACACCTCTCTCTTAATCCTACATGGAGAACATGAACCCGACACCTCTGCTCTTAATCCTACATGAAGAACATGAACCCGACACCTCTCTCTTAATCCTACATGTAGAACATGAACCCGACACCTCTGCTCTTAATCCTACATGGAGAACATGAATCTGACACCTCTGCTCTTAATCCTACATGAAGAACATGAACCCGACACCTCTCTCTTAATTCTACATGTAGAACATGAACCCGACACCTCTTCTCTTAATCCTACATGAAGAACATGAACCCGACACCTCTCTCTTAATCCTACATATAGAACATGAACCCGACACCTCTCTCTTAATCCTACATGGAGAACATGAACCAGACACCTCTCTCTTAATCCTACATGGAGAACTTGAACCCGACACCTCTGCTCTTAATCCTACATGGAGAACTTGAACCTGACACCTCTCTCTTAATCCTAAATGGAGAACTTGAACCCGACACCTCTCTCTTAATCCTACATGGAGAACTTGAACCCGACACCTCTCTCTTAATCCTACATGTAGAACATGAACCCGACACCTCTTCTCTTAATCCTACATGAAGAACATGAACCCGACACCTCTCTCTTAATCCTACATGAAGAACATGAACCCGACACCTCTTCTCTTAATCCTACATGGAGAACTTGAACCCGACACCTCTCTCTTAATCCTACATGGAGAACTTGAACCCGATACCTCTGCTCTTAATCCTAACACCTTCACTCTTAATCCAAGCTCTTAATCCTGCATTACATGGAGAACTTAAACCCGACACCCCTGCTCTTAATCCTACATGGAGAACCTGAACCCGACACTTCTGCTCTTAAACCTACATGTAGAACTTGAACTCGACACCTCTACTTTTAATCCCACAGGGAGAACTAGAACCCAAAACATCTGCTCTTAATCCTGTATAGAGAACTTGAACCCGACACCTCTTCTCTTAATCCTACATGGAGAACTTGAACCCGACACCTCTTCTCTTAATCCTACATGTAGAACATGAACCCGACACCTCTACTTTTAATCCCACAGGGAGAACTAGAACCCAACACCCCTACTCTTAATCCTACATGGAGAACTTGAGCCCAACATTCGGAATACTGAAACAGTTCAATCCAGAGAGCTGATTTAAACATTTCAACAGTGTACAAGGCGCTGAATGAATTTCGGGTAAAGTTGGCTTATCATGCAATTGAAGCCAATTGGGTTTTATGAATTATTCAGTGCATGCGATATTGTACTTATTGCAAAGTAAGAACTTAGCAACAAGAGTTAAAATAGATCTGAAAGAGTAAATAAGTTTATAAAAAAGTGTCTAATACAAAAATAAGAAATAAGACAGAAAATGAGGGAGTTGAGGGTCACTTGTCTATAATTAGTAATGTCTATGTCAGGTATTGACCTGAAATCTAGGCTGGTTGACCCAGTATGGTTGGATGGAGAGGTAGGACGGGAGCTACCCTCGGGATGATGAGACAAACTACCCAGGGCACATCTGATAGGAGTAGGAGATGGATTAGATCTGATAGAATTAGGAGACGGGTTAGGTCAAATTGGATCAGGAGTAGGGTATAGTTTAGGATCAAGACAAAGTAAAGGATTAAGGGTATAGTTTAGGATCAAGACAAAGTAAAGGATTAAGGGTATAGTTTATCATCAAGACAAAGTAAAGGATTAAGGGTACAGTTTATCATCAAGACAAAGTAAAGGATTAAGGGTATAGTTTAGGATCCAGACAAAGTAAAGGATTAAGGGTACAGTTTAGGATCAAGACAAAGTAAAGGATTAAGGGTGCAGTTTAGGATCAAGACAAAGTAAAGGATTAAGGGTACAGTTTATCATCAAGACAAAGTAAAGGATTAAGGGTACAGTTTATCTTCAAGACAAAGTAAAGGATTAAGGGTATAGTTTAGGATCCAGACAAAGTAAAGGATTAAGGGTACAGTTTATCAAGACAAAGTAAAGGATTAAGGGTACAGTTTATCTTCAAGACAAAGTAAAGGATTAAGGGTACAGTTTAGGATCAAGACAAAGTAAAGGATTAAGGGTACAGTTTATCATCAAGACAAAGTAAAGGATTAAGGGTACAGTTTATCATCAAGACAAAGTAAAGGATCAAGTGCTAGACAAAGGATCAAGTGCTAGATAAAGAATCACGGCACTAAAAAAGGATTGGGATCAGGAGAAGAAAGTAAAGAATTGAGAGCAGTATAAAGTAAACGATAAAAACTTAAAAATCTTAAAAGCATCCCCACCTCCCTCCTCCCTCTTCCAGAATTAAAATGATTGATACACAAGGCTACAGTCCGTTAAAAAGTTACCTGGAGCCGTATTGGGAACCGTGCCATGGGCGAGCATAAGGATCGAAATCTTCTAGATACGAGGTTTCTTTCTCCCCCTTAGTATCCTAAGAGATATATATATATAAAGTATTAATCTCTGTTGTGGTATCTGTTTGTATGTATGTCTGATCATAACTTAGTTTTTAGGAACCCCTTGACCGATTTTTGATTGGAGAAAACTGGGTTCCCAAGCTAGTACATTATAATGGTTAAATTTCATTTATGTATTATGTAAAATGATTTTAAATTGTGAAAATCAAAGTTAATTCCATAAAACTTTATCATTTTTTTGAAGATGTAATATAATTTAATCATTCCAAGGGACAATTAAGTAAAATAACATCCCGGATCACGGAGTTTAACTAAACCTACCTTAGTGCATGAACAGCTCATAGCTGTGCAGAGGAACAGATTGATGACCAGCATCACTAGGAACAGGATACCGAAGGCAATACACAGATAGAGCAGCCAGACAGGGTTCACACCACAGTTCTCACATACACTCTCAACCTCAACTAGATATAGGAGATTAATATTAGACACTCTCAACTAGATATAGGAGATTAATATCAGACACTCTCTACCTCGTCTAGATTTAGGAGATTAATATTAGACACTCTACACCTCAACTAGATATAGGAGATTAATATTAGACACTCTCCACCTCGTCTAGATTTAGGAGATTAATATTAGACACTCTCAACCTCGTCTAGATTTAGGAGATTAATATTAGACACTCTACACCTCAACTAGATATAGGAGATTAATATTAGACACTCTCCACCTCGTCTAGATTTAGGAGATTAATATTAGACACTCTCAACCTCAACTAGATATAGGATATTAATATTAGACACTCTTAATCTCACGAATGTAGACATGAAGATTTAAATTGGACAATTTGAATATTGAAGTGGTGTACAAGTGTAATGTATATGAAATCAAGACTAAGAAAGAGATATTATTATCATGACACAGACACCTATTGTTTGGTGTTGCCTCCAAACTGCAAATCATGATAAAACTTCATATCATGAGAATCAGCGAAGCTGCGGAGTAACTAATTGTTGCATTGAATGGTATCTTGATAATATGATTTTAATGGGGTTCTTAATTTTGATCTTATATTTAAGAATTTAAATGTCAAAAATATTTGTTTTTATACTAAAGACGGGGGGGGGGGGG